AAAGAAAAAAAAAAAGTAGAAAAGGCAGTATGCTTACTATTGTTTTACAATCAGTCTGTCATTTGTTGTCTCTAAACTTTAATTAAAACAACATAAATGGAGGCTGATTCATTCAGCATTTAGCAAACTTCTTGGACTCTCCGTGAATTACTTACTGTCAACCAATCAGTCCAGCTTGGATCTTCATCGGCTCAAACAGTACACAGTAAATAATCTGTTTGTGGGAAAACTTGGTTTGATAGTGATCACATCCTCTTTAAAACACAGCGCAGAGGGTCATATAGGGTGTGGGTACCCTCACGTTCTCATTGGTGCCATTATCTTTAGGTCCCACATGCAAGGCTTTATGCAAACCCAGAATGCGATCCCGTATCTTTCCTGTGTTTTCTGGTATTCGGGCTGTTGAGCAATAAATATAAAGCGGGCTAAAAATTCTTGGCGGGCGTCGATGAAGAGAGATGATTGCTCGTTGCTTTCCAAGCCACGAGTGTCGTCTTCGGCAGGCTGAGATTTTGGCAGATCGTCCGTCCACGTCAGGTGTCGGGTGATGTCCCGCTCTTCTCACGCTATCTGTCAAACTCAAACATCGGCACAGTTGCAGAGTTATGCTGCAGAAATGATTGGTGTTATCTTTACTTTACACAATACCAGCTCACAAATGAAAAATGCATTTTTCATTTGTGTTAAGAAAAATGTTGTGTTTTGAAAAAACAACAGAAAGGTATTACACTTATTAAATGTGAAGAAGTTGGAGATAGTTAGTGTAGGTTTTGGTGACAGACGGGTAAGCCAGGTTTCATTTGCCGGAGTTAACGGATGTACCGAGGGCCAGAGTGCCTGGAAGTGGTTGTTTGTGTTTTGACAAGAGGAGAGTGTGTGCTTATAGTAGATCACAAAGTTAGATGGGTTATCAGGTGACAAGGAAAGGCAGGCGGACATTTTGATGGTAAGAGAAGAGCGAAGACGGAGATGGATTGGAGGTCTCTGAAAGTTATTTTACGTTTATCTTCAGGGGTGGTGACATCCATAGTGATTTCCAGGTGGTCTGAGATGTTGAGGATGAGGCTGGAGGAGAAAGAGCCAGGGCGTGACTATGAGTGTGTGTGTGTGTGTGTGTGTGTGTGTGTGTGTGTGTGTGTGTGTGTGGAAGTTAATATGTTGTGTGAAACTGAAGCAATGTTGCAGATCCAGGAGTTCAGCGGAAGGCTTGCAGCGAAAGTCATTTATGCAGAAAGAAACCACCTTTTCGTTTATGTTAAGAAAAATTTTTATTTCCTTTTTGAAAAGAGGTTGCATACATTTGAGATGGATCTCTATAGGACGATGGTATTTGTGAGAAATTATGTAGGTGAAATAAATATTTTTGTGACATTCTGCTGTGGATATTCAGTGGAAATAATTCAGGAGGAAAAATGGCACAAAAACCTCATTTGTTGCTATGTTTGTTTTTTAAAAACATGCGTTGTCTTTACATTGTTTAGCAAAAAAAAAAAATTGTTATTTTAACTTTTTTTTTGTTGCTTTTTGTCCAAATCCAGACCGTTCTTAGTAGTAAAGGCGACGTGAAAAAGGAAGAAGGGTATTTTTTCTCTGAAAGCAGAAGTTCAAAGCTTTTCAGGTAAACAGAACAAGCCTGAACCTTACAAGGTATTTTTTGGGGAATGAAAAGATTATTGTTGGAGGTGAAAAGAGGGGAGGAGAGAGCCAAGGATCCAACATGTAGAGAAGGAGATTTTTCAATGAAGCACGAAACTGGAGTGAAAGTAATGAAGCAAGGTCTTTTTCCTCTGAATTTAATTTATTCCTTTCATAATCCTATAGATATAAGTGGAATTTTGTGCGATAGATCAAAATGAAGTAATGAAAGGAAATAAGTCAGAGGCCGAGGTTCATCTTCCAGCAGGATAATGACCCCAAACGTCCAGCCATAAACAGAATGTACATGTAGATTAAAGCATATTATGAAATAAAACTGTTTTAGAATGGCCCCAGACCAGAAAATGTGGCAAGACGTTAAAAATCGCTTTATACATAAATAACTTCCTTCACGTTTGGTCTATATTTCAAGATTCTGGTTGTAAGATGAGAAAATGTCAACAGGTTTTGGGGGGGCTCCTTCTACACAAAACAGCCATGTTAAAAAAATAAAATTTAAAAAAAACTAAAAAAGACTGATTACTGCTAATAAATAATAAAGAGTGTACAGTTGATAAAGACGCCCTGTTAGCTGTGTTCATCCGTTTGCATCCTGTGGATAAATAATCCCCAGTCCTCGTAACCCCTCCTTCAACCTCTTCCTGGCTTGAACAGAGGTCATGTACCCGGTCACCATCCTGTAAAAAAACACACACACACCCACACACACACACACACACACACACACCCACACACACACACACAGAAACAAACATCAACACACACGCATCCATGCTTGTTTTCACCAATCCAGTTTGAGCTTCGACTCCTCCCACTGATTAACATTTTAAATAATGGATTTCATCACATTTTGTGGTCGGTTCTGATTCAAAGTTCACTTTTATCAGGTATTAATCGAATTAAAGTGCAGTAAATGCATCTTCTTGTAGTTCAGATATCTCTGAGGAAGAAATGAGCAGGACATTTCTCATTCCTCTGAATGCTGTTGTGATTGGCTGCTTCCTCCACCGTCTCCTGATATCTGATAGCTTCCTTCCAGGAAGTTCCTCTCTAAAAAAAATATCAGATGAAACGTCAAATTTCTGCATCGCTCGCAGTGATATGTACCCTATCCATGAATCAAACGTGCAAACAAACATATTAACCTTATTGACAAAGCAACAACTGCAATTCTGCTTCTAAATTCGTTGAAATCGAAGCTCCAAGAAGGAATCTGACCCCCTTTCCCTTGAGCTTAGGGAGTGTCGCCTTATGTTTTTACACATGCACTGGCTCGATTTCTGCTGTACATGAATTTTTATCACAGTTGCATAAGATGATGTCAGGGTGAGGAGGTTTCTGATATGTTATCTGGGAACATTATGTTGTTGGTAAGAACAGGCACCAGACGGGCTCAGCTGTAGACAGCAGGACATTCACCTATTCATCACGCATGTACAGATTCTTCTAAAAAAAAAACTAACTTCGCCTTTAAATAACTCTTCTGTTTGTTCCTGATCATGCAGTATGCAAGAGATGAGCCGTCTGCATCAGATTCCCTTTATAGACAAGGAGTTTGCCAAGTAATCACAAATTAACCATTTATCGAATCATCATTAACTTTAACGAGAAGTTTAGTTGCTTGGACAAAATCGTCGGCTAACCCAAGAGAGGCCAGCAAGCGCTATTAATTTTTAGAAATAAAAATAAGAAATGTTTACTCTAAAATGATTAACCCTTTGTCGGACATGTACTGATTTAAAGAAAAGATCAGATCTATATATGTAGGCACCAATAAACAAATAAACGATACTAGATGCTGAATAGCCGTGGATTTTGGATGAACAGTAATTTGCAGGAACTCTTAAGTAGTTTGAGCAAAGGTATCTTCTTCATCCTGGAAGAAGGTTCTGATTCCCCCACATTACACAGAGTTTCCTGAGTTTTTGTCGTGGTGTTTCTCCAAGACAACCAGTCTGCTGGCAGAGAAAAATGCTCCACTGTAAAACCTGGCGTCTGCAAGACAAAGTAAGACGTTCATAGATCAGACTTCTTTAAATCGAGCTCGCAACGTCTCAGCAAAGACGAACAAAACAAGTAAACCGGGGACTGATGGAATCGGGACAATGATGCTCTCTCAGTGCGCATGACGCGTTCAGATGTGTTTACATACGTACAATGTTCATAACTTATTAACTAAGACATATTTCTACGTTTTAGTCACTGAAGAGAAACAAAACTGAAGTCTGAATGGGAATATATTCAGAAGGCAACGTACACTAAAACGAGCTGCGGGTTTTTCTGTTGACAGTAGGGAAAATCATAATTGATTCACTCATTTAGGTCATTAACTTTGTCAGTAGTTATGTGGAAAAAAGTGATCAAGAACAACTTTAAAAAACAAAACAAAAAAACAAAAAACAAAAAAAAGCAGGCAGATATACTGCTCAGTAAGTGAAGCCATCATTAAGGAGGTTAATGGTGTTGGGGGGGTTAAGAGGTCAAAATGGAGACGCTGAACAAAACAACACAGAAGCAAGAGTTGATAAGAGCAATAGCTCATCTGGGAGGTTAACGTAGTTCATGGCAGCTGTAGATTCTTGGAAGAAAACAATGCTAAACACATTGTGACCAGACCAGAGGTCAACAACCTACTAAACAGGATTTGTCTAAAGCCTCAAAACCCAAATGACACTTTGGGGGGGGGAAAAATGCTTGTGAAATATTTACCTGAAATATAAATGATTTTCTGTTTCAGTGTGTGAGTTTCAGAGCCAAGATTACTTCTGAGGGAAGAATAAAGGCGGTTCCTTCGATTCCAAGTTATAGGAGAAAACAATTAAGAACAGCTTTTAGATTTACAGGTAGCTTAATATCGACAAAGATCACTGGGGCGAGGGGGGGGGGGCAATGTCTGCAATGTTCTTTGAAAAACCTTCCAAAATGAGCAACCATATGACTCTGCTGGGAATGTGCACATCACAAACAATTAGATCACTGAAATGTGGTGGAGTTGGATCAGGAGAAGAAAAAGTTTCTTAACAGGAAAGGTATAAAGAGAAGCTAAAACCAGAGGGATGTATGACCAGAGGTCTTTATTGTGCTTTCTGATAATAATGTGAATCAAAGAATTAAGAACTATCTACAAATGAATAATAAAATACTCCTGACTTCTGCTCTGTGCTGTATCTACAGTCACTACAAAGTGGAAGCAATAACTTGGCAATGATTTGCATTTACTGCCACCTGCTGGTCACTTTTAAAATTTCTGCCAGTAGAAGATTCATCTGTTTGTGTTTCAAAGTTAATTGAACAGAGACGTCGAAGTGCATTAGAAAACAGCATGCTGTTGTGTTTTAGCTACAGGTGAACCACAGTATTACTTAGAAGACAACATATCATTTAAAACCCAAACAGTCGTTGCTTCTTGTCTTGTGCTGAATGTTTCCTGTCAGCTTGATGTGGTTAACCAGTTTTCTTCACGAGATTCAACGTGCTGTGTTGCTGTCTGCCACAAGCCAGTGTCATCTTGATTGCAGGTAGGTTAACACATGAACCTCTCTCTAATCTAAGGCAACCACTGCCAATAAAAGAAATCATGAGTATTTTTTGTTGTCAAATATTCCTATTTTCCCTATTTCATTTGATTTATTTTGTGTGTGTGTGTGTGTGTGTGTGTGTGTGTGTGTCCATTAGCACAGAGCTCTGTGGCAGCAACACACTTCAATAGATTTAGCTGAATTTTCCCGAATTCAAATGAAACACTGAGCAAAAGTGTGACAACGATTTAGGCTTCAATCACAAATACGCTTCAGTAAGTGCTCAAGAGTTGCCATCGTCTTTCACAAGGCTTCTGCATTTTCACGTTTAAATGTCAAACAATAACTTATGTTTACAACTCTCCAATTCTCCTGACTGACTCAGTAACAAACGCCGCCTTCTGCATGACGCCATCTGATTTTGATCGGATAGAAGCAACATATGCAACAAACATTACAGTCACATCCAGTAAATAAGAAGACTTTTCTTTCTGAAAAGTATCTTTAAGCAGTAAATAAACTGACTTTTTATTAAGCTCAAACTTCTGAATAAAATTTTTTTTTTTTATTGGTCCGATGTCATATTCTCATACTAAATATGGTGTCTGCACTAGCCATCATAGGAAAATCATCACACTTTACAGAAATAAAGGTTTGAAAACATCAATCTGTGTGTAATTTATCTGTGTAGTGTTTCAGTTAGTGAACTAACTTACTGAAATAAATCACATAGCACTTTTTTTTTCTCACTTTAACATTAAATCAGAGCAAATCTTTTCTGCTTGGGGCAGTTAGGATCGTTAAAATTATTTCCATTTGTTAAAAAGGCAGAATAACAAGAGGTGTTTGGTTTTCCCCCCTTTTTCTTCCAAATGTAACAATTGTCATTATAGGGTAATACTTTAATTTTAGTTTCATCAAACCACAGGACATGTTCCCAAATGTTTAAGACTTTGTCCCTGGGTGCATTTCCTAACTTTAATCCTGCTTCTTATGTTGATTTTGGAGTAATGTGTGCGTAAATTTGCATACAATAGTTAGATTTATTTCATTGCTGGGAGAAATTAGTTCCATCTGGCAAAAAGATGCTACATATATGAAAAGTGTTCATCTGTATCTGAGTTACCAGGCCCTTATTAGGTAATGAGTGAAATTTTGTTTCCGTTCTTTGAGTTGATTTTATTTCGACATCATGTAAAATCTAGTTCTCAGAATTTCTAACCAGATTCCTTCCTGGGTAGATGTTAAGAGAAAAAAAAAATAAATTGCAGACAAAAGGTAAGTGTATACGAAGGGTAATTTTGTGGTGGGGATTTGCTGAGCTGTGATACGGATGCGTAGCGCTCTGCCCTTCTCTAACCCTCAAGCAGAGTTTCCATTTCACACTTTCCACCAAACCTCAGGTCCTTCGTCTTTGGTCACTCTCGTTTAATTTCTATCACTTCTCCCGACGTTTTTTTTTTTTTTGTATTTATTAACTTAACTGGAGCAACACTTTAATTTGTAAAGCTTCACTTTGTTACTTTCAAAGATTTTTGTACTCATTTTATCAGTGGTGTGTATATTTCACACCAGTTTAATTTTAGGACTGAGGTTAAGGCCACAGGATCTTTTTTTTTTTTTTTTTAGTAGTCACCGATTATGCACCTACAGCCCACACACCTGTCTAAATGCCAACTGTGCAGCCTCTAAGGTTAGTTAGGCCTACTGTACATATCTGAATTTTGCATTGACTTTGTTGTTTTTTACACGAGCATGTAGATGCATTGTACCCCTGCCTCTGTTACAAACCACAGGTTTCCGTTTGAGTAAGCAGATGAGGAATTTATGCTGAAGTCAGTCTCCTCTTGGGGTTTTTTATTTTTTTTTGGTTTGTAAAAAAAAAAAAAAAAAAAAAAAAAAAAATTAAAGGAAATGTTTTTTCGATACTTTAAAAAAAAAAAAAAAAAAAAAAAAAAAAATTAAAGGAAATGTTTTTTCGATACTTT